TGAATCTGAGGCTCAAAGGAAGCAAGAAAGTAGTCCTGGGTCATAGCTAATAAGACTCTTGGGACTATAAGCAAAAAAGCTGATAAGACCAGGTTGTTGTCATTCATTTTTATGAAAAACTTAGTGTATAGGAACTCTAAAACTTTGACTCCCAAGAGGATAAATATGTTAGCGAATACATGCCTGGAGTTAGCTGGTTCCTTGGGGAATCCTTCACTTTTCTTTCCCAGGGTGTCTGTCCTCAGAGCACAGAGGTCCAATGAAGGTCCAGGGAGAAGAGGTACCAAGGGTGGGGGTGCGTGTATAAGGGATGTGACTTGAGGGGGCCTAGGGTTAGCTGGGGCCCTGTGTGAGATCAGGGCACTGGGCACATGTTGGGGAGCACAATGGGTGGGAAGGTGGGCTTATCACACAGCACCTAGCCAGAATAGGTGCTCATGAACCTCTGTAAAAGAAAGAAGCGAGGGTGGGAGGGAGGAGAGGAGAAAGTGGAAGCAAGCTGCATGGGGCTCAGTTGAAAGGAGGGAAGCAATAGGGAATATGTGAAGATTCTCATCTTTTCTCCTTTGGAATTTGAGCTCTGAGCGTTCACTCAGTTACATTCTGAGCAGCAGATTTCTTTTTCGTTCATTCATTTCACAAATATGTATTGGCTGGTTCCCAATGTCAGGCTCTCTGCCAGGCACCACATCCCTTTTAGTGAGCAGGGCAGTTAAACCCCAGGTTTTACAGAGGAACCTACAGAGGTGGAGGGCGGGGCACTAGTGTGAGGAGTAAGGGCTGGGGGGGTGGAGGTACTGGCCTCGCTGAGCAGGTAGACAACTGGTGACTGGGGTCTGATCTAAGTACTATGGAGAAGTAAAAGTTTATACTTAGGTAGGGAGCAGAGGGAAGCAGGAGGCAGCCTTGCATTCAGCAGGGTGAGGGGAAGGGAGCAGAAAGGATGTTCTGAGCAGAGGGACCCACAGTGTCAGGCACCAGGCAGAGACAGCTCTGTTGGGTTGAGGAGCTGAGAGGAGGTCAGTGGGGCTTTGCTGAGTGAGAGAAGGTGAGAGAGAAGGGGCAGGGCCAGATCCCATGTGACACTTATGGGATCTGAGTTTATTCTAAAGAAACTGGGAAACCACTGAAGGTTTGCAAGCATGGAATGGACATGATTTCATTTTACCATCTCCCTGCTTCTCTGTTAGATCCCCAGCACAGCACTTGCACTTCTTCTTTACTCTAAAGAAATCCCACAGACCCCATGGAAATAGGAAAGCAAACACCAAGTTATCATCAGCTCAGACCAATGGACAGGTCTCTTTATAGGCAAGATTCCCTCCCCCCTCCTCAAAGCCACCTTTGTCTTCAGTAGCAGGAACTGCTCACATTCAAGTGTTCCATACTTTCTGTTCCAGTTTGGGGACAAACACTTAAATGTACTGTTTACAGAAACCACCCTATCCAAGCACTTCCGCCTCCCATTCTCCTGACTAGGGACCCTCCCCTGATGTCAGGATTGGTAAATCTAGGCTTTCCTCCCACTCTTAACTTTTTGTGCCATGACCTTGCCCATGGAAATCCTTTGGTTTTCTTTTAGCTCTTTAGAGCACGTGTATCCTGCTGGACCACTCGAGTCACATGTCTGTCTGGCTCCTCCTGCCTTCAGAAGCTTTCCCCACTGAGCTCTGGACTTCTCACGCCCCTGGACTCAGCCCATTGGTTTGTTTTCTGTGCTGTGGAGTTTGAATTTGTTTCTCTGGAGGAGTAATTGCCCCCTTGCCTGTGACATCCACATTTCCCTCTCCTTGAGTCATTGGGGTCACCTGATCCCCAAAGGAGAGGGGACTGGGGACAGGGTACTGGCTCTGGACCCATGACAATAGGAAGATCTGATCAGCAGGAATGGCACTGGGTATATCTTGAATGAATTAATGAAGCCTGGCTCTGTGGAGTTGTGGCCTGGTCCCTGACTAATTCCTTTGTGCTTTGGATTGGGCTTACTCCTGCTCAGCCTGACTGTGACCCTGGCAAGTCACATCTCCTTCTGTTACTTGAGGGACCAGGACCTGTTTCCCTGGGGTTCTTCAGCCCCTCCGGTTCCCCACTGTTGGCTTGGCCCACTGTCGCTGAGACTTGACCTCTTTGATCTTTCTCTTTTTTTTTTTGATTGAAGTATAGTTGATTTACAATGTTGTTAGTTTCAGATATATAGTAAAGTGATTATATATATTTATTTATATATAAAAAGAAAAAAATATATGTTTGTATATGTATTTTTCTTTTTCAGATTCTTTTCCATTATAGGCTAGTTANTATATATATATATATATATGCCACATCTTCTTTATCCATTCTTCTGTTGATGGATATTTAGGATGCTTTCATGTCTTGGCTAATGTGAATAGTGTTGCTTTGAACACTGGGTATATGTATCTTTTTGAATTATTGTTTTTGGTTTTCCATATATATGCCCAGGAGTGGGATTGCTAGATCATATGGTAGCTCTGTTTTTAGCTTGAAGGAACCTCCATACTGTTTTCCATAGTGGCTGCTCCAATTTACATTCCCACCAACAGTATAGGAGGGTTCTCCTTTCTCCACACCTGCTCCAGCATTTGTTATTTGCAGACTTTTTAATGATGGCTATTTTGACCAGTGTGAGGGGGTACCTCATTATAGTTTTGATTTGCCGTTCTCTAATAATTAGCAATGTTGAGCATCTTTTACTGTGCCTGTTGGCAACCTGCATGTCCTGATGCTCTTCCCAGGCTTGTCTATCTAGTGCCTATCTAGTTTGCAACTAACCTTTGACACATGCTGGCCTGTGGGGCCCCTGATCCTCCTCCTCTAGGGACTCTTGGTGAGACTGTACACCAGACGGTGTGGGTGAGGATAAACTACACATCTATTGGCCTCTCTCTCCATCCGAGACCAAGGCATGTTCCCAGGGAGCCTGTTTTGGGGGACATGGCTGGCTGTGTGTGTTGGGGGTGGAGTTTGGAGAGTGGAGGGAAAGCCTTAGGCCTTAGACATTCCCTCTCTGAAGACAGAGAGGAGAAATAGGGCATGCTCCCTGTCCCCCGGCTCTGGCTCACTGGAGAGAATCTACACTTAGATCTCAGAGGTGGGGGTCTTAATCATTGGTTTTATTCTCCAGGCAGCACCATCAGCCTTGGCATCAGGGAATTGGTGTGGTTTATAGGCCAGAGTTCTGGGGTTGTAGGCTCTGGTCCCAGGGTTGCCATGCATTTAGTAGTTTACTCCAAGTAACTCATTTGCCATCTTTAATGCCTTAACTTTTCTATAGGTAAAATGAGAAAGAGCCTAGTCTCATTGGGATGTTTTGGCAATGAAGTGAGATAAAACAGAAAGCATTCTGGAAAGGTAAAAAAGATTCCCATGTGCTCTGTGCTAATTTTGATATGGAACCTTAACACAATAAAATATTGTTTATAAGTGTTTATAAAATAAGATAAAATATTAAAATAATAAAAATATTTTTATTAGTATAGAAGAAACAGAAGATATTATAGAAGTTCAAAAAAGTTTTAAAAATCACACATAATTTTACCATCCTGATAGTTATCTTTTGATATTGTTTTTTTCTTTCAGATTTTACAACAATATTTTCAAATAATTGTATATAGTATGCCTACTATTTTGTACCTTGATTTTTCACACAGTGGTATCATTTGATCTCTGTACCTTTCATTTTCAGTGCCTGCAAATTATTACACCTAATATGCTTTAAAATTCATTTAACTATTCAAAGAGTAATTGTCATGAACTACTTTGAAGTTTTCATTATATTAATAATAAATGATACCATAATTAAAACATGACTTTTTAGTGAAATCAATCTGCATATAACATTTTATCTACTTGTTAAATTAATACATATACATAGCATTAATTTATAATACATACACACTGCATTAAAAGATTTGGAATAGTATAAAGAGAACTTAAATTGCTGGTAATTGTGCCACTGAGGGATACCACTGTGAGAATGTGGGTGTCTGTCTTTCCATTCTTTTGCTATTCATATATTGTGTGTGTGTACACACTACTGACCTGATGGTGTGTGTGCACTATTCATACTGATTTCTTGCCAGTTATTACTGTGACAGGCAGTTAAGAGCATGGCAGTTAAAAGGCTGGACTCTAGCTTCAGATTTTGTGGGTTCAAATCCTGCCTCTGTCATTTATCTAGGTAATCCCTTTGGATAACTGCCAAGCCTCAGTTTTCCCACTTTATTAGCTGGTCAGCCTTAGGCAGGTTCCTTCCCTAGGCCACAGTTTTTAGAAGAGGGGTAATAATGGTATCTGTCTCCTAAGGGTGTAAGTATCAACCCATAGAAAGCATTTAGCAGAACATCTGGCACATAGGAAGTGCTCGGCAAATACTCCCTGTGGTCATTGTTTCATACATTTTTCCGGGTCATGAAAGATTCTTGGAAATCATTTTAAACAACTGAACAGTATTATATTGTTTTTTTTATACTCTCATCTATTCACTTTCCTTATATGGTTGGTTAATTTCAATAACTAAGTGACTTTCATGTACCTAAACCTTTGCCCCAGTTTGAATTATTTCCCGTACAGGCACGCTAGAAATGGAATTAATAGGCCATATGAAGATTTTTAAAAGACCGTTTAACACATATGCCAAATTGCTTTGACAGAAAAGATTTTAAGGAGCCTTAAGCATAATTTTCAAACTGCAGCAGCAGTAAGTGCTATCTTGGACTTTTTTTTCTCTCTCCCCTCCTTTCTTTCTAGCCCAGCCCTTTAAATTGTAACATATGGAGCCAAATCCTTCCGGGTCCTACACTTTTGAGACGGTCCCTTGTTGTGAAAGGGACCGGAGCCTTTGAGAGCGGGAGAGAGAGAGAACTGGTTTGAATGTCGCACACCCAGACCGGCTTAGTAATTGTATCACAGTTGACAGATGCGGGAGCGGTCACGTGACCCGCGCATGACCTCATAGCTCCCGGCTCCCCCCCACCCACTCTTCAAGTCCGTGGTTCGGCCTCCGGCACCCAAAGCGGACTTTGGGGCGGCAGCGGTGGCGGGAGCGGGAGGGCCTTTCCATCACTCTTACTTGGCAAGCTGTCGAAAGGAGACCTGGGGTTTGGAAACTCTCTTTGGTTTCCTGTGCGGACAAGGAGGACGCTAGGAAGCCCAGACTTCTGTAATCACTGGCCAGAGGGAAAATTCTACTGCGCGATTAGCAAGTATTTGCGGAACGCAGCTGGGTACCCAGTTCTGGCTGCAGGCCAGCCTCCGTGCCAGTACGAATTTCATCTCGCTGAATTCTTTAATCCGCCTCTTACTGCTGAGAAGAGAGTCTTGGAGACACAGATGAGAAAACGAATGGCTTAGCTGGGAAGTGAGGACTCGCCCAAAGCAAGAGAAAACTGGAGGAAGCAGTGGGTGCACCTCGTTTCCAAGAGGTGTTAGACTGCGGTCAGCGAGTCTAGGGAGGGCAGGTGGGGGCACTGCCCATCTGAAAGCTTCTGGAAGAAAGGAACGGTGAGGCGAGATACAAACAAGCCGAAGAGATCTCACACTGACCGGACAGGGCATCTGTAGTGGAGAGAATGGGATTTGGGAGGAAAGCTGAAAATAAAACAAGAGAGAGAATAAAGAAGACGAAGGAAAGTGTTGATAGGATGAAGGGGGAGCGCCTCAGCCCAGTTTTGCACCAGTGAGAGACCCCTACCCCCAGCCCAGCACTTTAAGGGTGCCGCCAGGTCCCTGGAGACTTAGGAAATCCTTAAAGGTGCTGATTTTGCATTCGCTGAAGGCCATCCCCTTGCAGGCAACAGTTAAGCTCTGTCACCCTGGTGCTCTAAACGTTTTTCTTGTGGACTCCATTTTTTTTTTTTTCCGGAAAATCTGTATACCCCTTTGCACATTTTTGGGAGCAAACGTTCAAAATTTTTCCATAGTTTAAATAGTTACATAGGGTGTACTTTCTGGTGTATGCAAATATTGACATTTAAAGATAAAACTGTTACAGTACTCTGAAAAATGTTTCTAAATGAAATAGTATAGTGATTGGATACCCAGCATAATCCTTTTAAAAAATACATGAAGTTCTCCCTTAACAGTTGGAAAAATTTCATCTCTTTTTTCTCCTTGAATTTATGTTTCCTTCTTCTTCCCCAACAGAATTTTATCCTAATACATTTTTATGATTGAATATCTTTTATTCACCAAATCATACTTCTCTCCAACAAAGCTATGTATATAAAAATGAATTTATTTTAAAATGTTCTTGTTACCATAGATTCTAGATATTAGAAAATATTTTGTCTGGACTTGTACCACGACAACTAATCACAATTAATCAAAACAAATGCTATTAGAAAATTTAATAGCTACTTAAGGAAGCATAAAAAATAAAGCTTAATTGAAGATGTATCTCTTAATGAGGATGAAGTGCTTTTTTTCCCACCCCAATTAGATCATATATCCATGGATGAATATTACTCATTGCTAGGAGGAGTCAAGTTTCAGTATTTTTCTATTTTAAAAAATAGATGCAATAGCTGAGCTCAGAAACGTTTTCACATATGTAAATACTAAAGAATGTAAGGAGTTTTGTTATAGCAGTGTCACTCAGTTTTATAAACTTTTTGAGTTATAGGTCAAAAATCATATGGGTAATCATTAAAAACTTATCAGCTGACAGACAACTAGAATAGATTCTCCTTCACTTTGAATGAAAGCAGAGAACTGGAAGCTAGTTGATTTGCCGTCATTTAGCCACCATTCTTCTCCACATGGATACAGGAATTTAGACTCTCACTTTGTTGTGCCATACATTTTCCCTCAAGCCAGTGCACCATGGGAAGATTCAGGATGGGTAAGAAGTATGCTGCTGTTTGGGAAAGTGGGAGAAGGGTGATATTGTAAGGGAAGCAGGAGGGAGAACCAGCAGCCTCCCTCACATGTGTACTAAGATGAGACACTGTTTAACACAGTCCTTGTGAAAGGCGAGGACTTGTCACATGAGGCTCTTAAAATGGCCCATGCCAAAATACCCTTGGGAGGTTCTCCGTGTACGCCCAGGAGCACCGGTACCTTAGTTTTTGCCCGTCCATTGCTGGATGGATGAGCAAAGAAAGGGAAGGTGATGGGATGAGGGGTCACTGCAGGGTCTTAAGGTCTGTTTGTAGGAGGAAAGATGCTCTGGGCATAGGAGACATCCGTGAGGGGTGACCACCTCTCTGTAGGGCCTTTCTGAGGAAGGGATGGAAGCAACGATAACCCGAGTCCAGGCGCACTGGCTGCTGTGTGTCTCAGATCCAGACTCTTCTCTTAGAGCTTTCCTTCTCCTTTTGGTTCAAGCTACCTTGAGCTCTTGAAAGACCTTCCTTCTCATTCTTCCATGAAGGGCCTCTGCAGGAGGAGCTTGGGTGTCCCCACAGACCAGTCAGAGCAGAGAGGAGCTTAGTGGGGCCAACAAGAGGCTCAAGATGCTACAGTCCCCGTTGGACCCTGACGGAAGGCTGGCTGCTATGCTGGCTCTCTCCTCTCCATCCCAGGGCACGCTCATTCCTGGCTTGCCCCTGGTGCCTTTGTCACTAGGAAATGGTTTTCTTTGGGCAGATACAGCACCATGGGCATATGAGGTGGGGAGCACAAGACACCTTTGTACGAACAGCAGTTTCTCCTCCAGACTGACACAGCCTAGTGCCAAGGGGCATGTCTTGGCCAGGAGAGGGGAGCTGTGTGTGAGTCCCTGCCTGTCCCCTTGGCTGGGCACCTTTTGACATTGCACAACCTCATAACCACATGGGTCATGCTGCTTGTTCTGAGCACACCCTCTGCCATCTTGGAGGGCTGTCCTTCTAGCTGGATTCACCAGTTCCTATTCAGCCTTTGAGGCCCAGTTCTGGTGCCACTTTCTTCAAGGACTAGCTCTTCCCACCCACGTTCATCTCCCCCTCATTTGTTGTTGTTTAGTCACTCAGTTGTGTCTGACTCTTTATGACCCAGTGGACNTTTACATGTGTTCCCCGTCCCGATCCCCCCTTCTGACTCCCTCTCCATCCCGTCCCTCTGGGTCTTCCCAGTGCACCAGCCCTGATGCTGAGTTTTAAGCCAGATTTTTCACTCTACTTTTTTACCTTCATCAAGAGGCTCTTTAGTTCCTCTTCACTTTCTGCCATTAGGGTGGTATCATCTGCATATCTGAGGTTATTGATATTTCTCCTGGCAATTTGATTCCAGCTTGAGCTTCATCCAGTCTGGCATTTCTCATGATGTATTCTACATTTAAGTTAAATAAGCAAGGTGACAATATACAGTCTTGACGTATTCCTTTCCCAATTTGGAACCAGTCCATTGTTCCATGTCCAACTGGACAGTTCTAACTGTTGCTTCTTGACCTGCATACAGGTTTCTCAGAAGGCAGGTAAGATGGTCTGGTATTCCCTTCTCTTTAAGAGTTTTCCACAATTTGTTGTGATCCACACAGTCAAAGGCTTTGGTGTAGTCAATGAAACAGAAGTAGATGTTTTTCTGGAATTCCCTTGCTTTTTCTATGATCCAGTGGACGTTGGCAATTTGTTCTCTGGTTCCTCTGCCTTTACTAAGGTCAGCTTGTTCTTGGTTCATGTACTGTTGAAGCCTACCTTGGAGGATTTTGAGCATTACCTTGCCAGCATGTGAAATGAGTGCAGTTGTGTGGTAGTTTGAACATTCTTCTCTGGTGGCTCAGCTGGTAAAGAATCTGTCTGCAATGTGGGAGACCTGGGTTTGATCCCTGGGTTGGGAAGATCCGCTGGAGAAGGGAAAATCTACCCACTCCAGTATTCTGGTCTGGAGAATTCCATGGACTGTATAGTCCATGGGGTCGCAAAGAGAAACTTTCACTTTCACTTTGAACATTCTTTGGCATTGCCTTTTCATTGGGATCGGAATGAAAACTGACCCCCTCATCTGGCTTCCTGTAATTATCTGTCTATAAACATTAATTATACCGGAAATGATGGGGGGCTGTGTTTATACTAGAGCAACAGTTCTCAACTGGGGCAGTTTTGGCCCCCATGGGACATTTGGCAGTGTCTGGAGATACTTTTTGTTCTTACAACTGGGGCAGGAGCCTGTTACTGGCATCTAGTGGGTTAGAGGGCAGGCATGCGGTTAACATCCTGCAAAGCACAGGACAGCGTCCCGTCTCTCCAAGCAAAGGGTGGTGGTGGTAAGAGTCACTCAGTCATGTCCACCTCTTTGCAACCCCATGGACTATACAATCCATAGAATTCTCCTGGCCAGAACACTGAAGTGGGTAGCCTTTCCCTTTTCCAGGGGATCTTCCCAACACAGGGATCGAACCCAGGTCTCCCACATTGCAGGTGGATTCTTTACCAGCTGAGCCACAAGGGAAGCCCAAGAATACTGGAGTGGGTAGCCTGTCCCTTCTCCAGGGGCTCTTCCTGACCCAGGAATTGAACCGGGGTCTCCTGCATTGCAGGCAGATTCTTTACCAACTGAGCTATCAGGGAAGGCCAAGCAAAGGGTAATGTAGTCCAAAGGGTCAGCTGTGCCTAAGAGAAACTATGAACGAGATGATCTCTAGTCTTGAAAATGCTTTATGTCACACCCTGTTATATCATGGAGTTTTTATATTGTGTGTATGTGTGTGTTTTTTAATGTTGAGCATCTTTTCTTTTTTTAATATTTATTTTTATTTATTTGTTTGGCTGTGTTGGGTGTGCAGGCTTCTCTTTAGTTGTAGCACATGGGCTCTAGAGCAAACAGGCTCTCTAGTTGAGGCTTGGACTTAGCTGCCCCATCATGTGAGATCTTAGTTCCCTGGCCAGGGATGGAATCAGGGTTCCCTACAGTGGAAGGTGCTTCTTAACCACTGGACCACCAGGGATTGTTGTGTTTTAATGAGCCGCGTCAGTGTTACTTTGTAGCCAGATGATACATTCTTGGAGGACGGAGACCAAGTGTGTCTTGAAGGTCTCTCCTGCAAGGGCACTAGCACATGATTCCTCAGAGTTTTTAACCAACAGGAAGATGTAGGGGAAGGATGTATGGATACTCCCTGGCCGACCTCAGTCCTGCTCTCAGACGTTTCCCATGAGCTTCTGCTGGGATTCTTTGCCAGTCGGACTCTTACTACATTATATC